GCGGACTTATCTACTGGACTTTAGGGTATAAGATGCACTCACGTTGCCTGCTTTTTTTCCTACGTGGAAGGTCTTTTTCAGAGAAGAAGTTTTTCTTAACCAATTAAAAGATAAGAGTATGAAAAGAAAAAAAAGGGGCACTATTCAACTATTACTACCCCGATTTTCCGAAAACAGACCGGATCTTGATCGACTTTTTTCTACGGGGGCAGATTTGGGTGAAAGTTGGGTTCTAGGGGTTCTAGCCACAGGCGAAGGTGCCAAAAATCCTAAATCACCGAATTCGCTGAAAACTTGTCCCCAGGGGTAGTTTGACCTCCTGAACACGAATATCACATCCGCTCCGCCTGAAACTGCCTGGCGCCCGCGCCACAGGCGCCGGCGCCAAGGTACCCTAGATCACCAAATCCGCTGAAAACTTGTATACGGAGGTTATTTGACATCTTGATTACAAATATCACATTCATTTTTGGCGCTGGCGCTGATGGAAGACGCTGCGATCATCTGCGCTCTGAAGGCTGAGCCTGACCTGAAGGAAATCACTCTTTCTCCCAGGCTCAGCCTTAGAAAAGCGCTAAATGGCGCTGGCGTCGAAAAATAAATGTCATATTCGTGATCAGGGCATCAAACAACCCCATTATGCAGGTTTTTATCGATTTTGATAAAAAAGGGTGTGGCGCCAAATCAGCGCCTAATGGCGCCAAATGGCGTCAGGGCTGAAAACTAATTCGGTATTCGTGATCAGGACATCAAATAACCCTACTATGCAAATTTACACCGAATTTGGTGGGAAAGGTGGCGGCGCCAAACTGGCGCTGGCGCCAATTTGGCGCCAGCGCCAAAACGAGTGCTATATTCGTGATCAGGACACCGAATTACCTCTGTGGGCAAAGTTTCAGCAAAAATTTTTTTGACTTTTTGGGGTAGTAATAGTTTGATACTGCCAAAAAAGCTGCTCTTGTTATGAAAAATTCTCGGGCGCGTCGAAGCGCGACTTTTGAAGCTTGACCTTGCAGGAAAATCAGCCTTGTACCCCAGAAAATAAGGTACATCAAATAACCCGAAAGAAAAGACCACATATGGCGTTTTTCTTGTTGCAGGAAATTAGATACACTTAATGGTTGGTGCAAAACTGTACGGGAGCTTCATCTCATTCTTTACTCTGCCACATTGGTGTCATTAGACTGCCTTGACTAGAACAGAATACTTTTTCAGTTAACTTGATTGCGATTGTGCCACCATTACCGTGGTGGAGAAATTTCCCTTTTTAAACCCTGGTCCGTTCCCCGTCCCATTTATAGAAACCTTTTCCATTAGTCCCATAGTTGATTGAAAGAAGCATGAACCCCACAAGAACAGATAGGCCTCCCGCTTGAGTATCATCTGAAGTTGCCCCAATTCAAAAGCCCAGCGGGAATCATATCTGGCCTTCACCCGAGAGCATTTTCCGAGAAGTAAAGTGATTATCGCGAAGTTATCGAGTGACACCCCCACTGTCTTACTGGAACGTGAGCGGACTATACTTGGCAACGACGGCAACAATGATTTTGTAAATGGAGCTGAGCACTCGCGAACGTTGTCCTTTCTCAATTGCCCTGAGCAGTGCTTCCTGCAAAAATTGCCTGCTTGTGAAAATGGGTGTGAAAGCGTGGAAGATTAGCGGTGAATCCAACAGAAAAAAAAACGAACAAAAAATTGCTTACTTTTTGGGGGCTGAGGCCGTCTTTCCCTTGTCTGTTTAAAGGCAACGGCCGTCCGCGATCACAGGTATCGAAGTTGAAAATATGGCGTCAGGAGGTTAGAGTGGTCCGCGACGAACAACCTTGTACCGGTTTCGCGGCAAAAAATTCTATGGGAGGGGCGCTGTAGCGCAATATAAGTTCAGTGGCTCCTCCCTTTTTTCCAGTGACCTTCCTCCTCCAGACACTTCCGCCTATGACCGATTTCCCAGGAAAATGAGAATTGCAGACAGAAAAAGCATGATAAAATCGCCACTTCACGATAGTAGATGTAATCTGTAATCGGTGAACAGCCGCGCATATGAGGGAAGTAGTTTTAGAGTACAGAGTGAATTGGGCTCACGTACAAGAACTGGGATCGAAATGGGGTTCTATCTAGGACAGGTGGCATGTTTTGTGCTTTTGTTCACAGTCGTGTTACTCAACCCCTTGCCGTCTATATGGAACTCCCTAATCAACCATCTGAGATAGCGAGTAATCGCGGGTTCTTCCTTTAGGGCGGAATAATGCGGCCCTTGCGACTTCAGTTCCGTAGGCCGTCCCTCACGTTGTACAAGTCCTGACCTAACTAAAAATTTGTCCTCGTTACCGGCTTCCCAGGAACTAATAAAAACGCTGCTGGCCCTCTGACAATTATTCAACGTCTCCCTAAGGGCCTCCGCCCACAGAAACTTGGAAACTGGTTCGTTCTCTCTCAACACCGGCAGTTCCGTTTTTTTTTTACATATTAGATCGATCAGTATTGAAGGACGTGAAGAAACCAGTGGCTTGTTGAATGCGGTGTAGCCTAAAGAGGGACCAGGGGGGGGGGCAGTCGATGTACAAGTCAGTCTTTTGACCCCTTCAGGTAAATCTATTACCGCGGAGGGTAATAGGCTTGGTTCGCTCGGACGGCAGCTGATCCGGGACTTTATCCCGGATCGCGCACTTGGGTGGCCACCTCTAGACCATCTTCGCCTCTTTAAAGTGTAAAGCGCAAAATCTGGCCCAGTCAGCACACAAAGGCAAGACTTGGGAGTGAATCAAAGCTCTCACTGTCGTGAGCGAACGCGAAAGGGTGAAGTACTCCAGAAGGATAGAGAACCTTTTTTCGCTCACTCCGCTTCTCTAATGGATATACTTCCTTCAGATTGAGGATCTTGAAGAAGAAATGAAGAGACATAAGTGAAAATGATGTCACTGAAATTAGCGCTACGGCGCAAGGTTTCTCGGGTAGGAGAAAGAGTCGCGTTCAGAAAAGAAAAGTGGACCCCAAGACAGCGCGGCTAAATTGAGCAGAAGGAAAGGGCTGGTTTGCAATATCGGCTAGCCTCGGCAAGTCATTGTATGGGCCAAGGGCTCTTTCAAAGACCATTACAAATCCAAGTGGAAGTCAAGTGGCTGCCGCACCCGACAAGCAATCGGTCGACGCCCAAAGCTCAGGCCATTGCTTTCTCGCAGGGTTTGAACCACCACAAAACAATTTATGGGCGAATTTACAATACATGCATATTAATCGTGAGCGAATATTCAGTGCTCTTTTCCCATTGCAAAATAGGCTAGGCCCGTTGTGACATTCCCCTGACGATTATCTTTTTTTACTGCTCGTCCCTTCTGCACGACTCATAAGAAAGTAAGCAATGGAACCCTAGTATTTCTGAATCTGATTTACAAAAATTACCTAGAATAAAGAAGGACACTAGGACGAAGGACCTCAATAGACTCTTATTTGGTCGATTTTCAACAACAGACATTGCGCCAACGATGCCAGTGGGCTCAGAAGTCGTGCAACGCCGTCATCTCCCTAAAGACCTCGAATTGCCGATCGATAGCCAAGCATTGCTGGGTGAGCGCAGCACGTTCCACTCCCGATTTCCATCTGTCGTCGAATTCATCAAGACCCAAAGAAAGGTCACACATCACGAATCATTAGGGAATTCAAATGTGGGCTGTTTAGCTCGAAATTGACTTTCAGCTGCTAATAGCGACAGTCCGGCTCATGGGAATAGGAGCTGCGTGAACGAACGGCTGAGTGGAACGCCTTGCATGTCATTGTCAAGCCAACAGAGCGCCCCGTGGTTTTTTGTGCCCCACCGAGACTCCTTGATTAGGCGCCGTCAGGCTAAGCTTTGTCAACTGTTACATTAGGATTTTCACTCTTAGTTCCTCTTTTTTACCAAAACTTGGCTGCTGACGCCGAGTTTAAGGCTTTAAGGTGTGAATATCATCATCCAGTTGATTTTTTTCACCCGGATACAAATCTATCCGGAGCTACAACGGAAGCAATCACCAAACTCCGCCTCTTTTGGCTATAAAACTGCACATAACAAGTCTTTTCAGACTTCCCAAGTGGTAGCACGCCCCAGCTTTTTCTTTGGAGACAATAAGTACTTTCAAAGTGGTGAGAGAGATAACAGAGTAGAGCTGCAGTGTAGCACTCGATGGCGTTTTAAGGCCTGGTTGCTCCAGCCCGAGTTTGTCTTGACAACTTCACACCTACTTAAGGAGGAGTGATGTGGATTTTCACCCTAGCTCATCGAACCTGCCAACCCTCGGGTGCATGGCCCAAGGAGCTGAAAATTGAGGCCTGTTCGATGTCCAGGATTCATCAAAAGAGCAGCAGGAACAATTCAATAAATCCCTCCGTGCGAGTCTCAGTGTGGGTTAATTTCAGAGCCTCACGCAACAATGTATCGTTCAGTGTGGCGTTCTCCGTTTATCATCGAGAAGGGGCGGGGCGTCAACGTCATTCCAACCAGTGGTCCACCCCCGATCCTTGGAGTTTGGAGGATTTCCTGAGGTTCCTGCTCTTCAGTAGTGAATTCAGAGTCTTTTGTTGAACTCCTACTCATAACAGATTTTTGTGCTTAATTTTTAGTGAACCCTTTGATGCTATTTGCCAACTGTGACTTGGTACTCCTTCTTTTCAATCTACTATAGGGAATTACTGCGCAGTTTGGCGACAGGAGAGGCGGGGGGGGGGGCATTTTGCACTCTTGTTACTTCCAGTCGACGTGTCGAGCCATCAAGTGAATACTTGTGATGTGAATGTGAATGCGTGAAATCTTGTGAAGCCACGAAATAATACTAGCCAACTTTTGTAGGGACCAGCTGTCAACTATGTAAAGAAATGAAATACCATACAAATACCATTTACATGTAGCTCGATGGGCTTGCTCCAGCTTCACACGAATTCATTGGTCTCACCAAGGTGAGACTCGTGAACCGGAACTAGTGGAGCGGCGAAAATGCAAAATTACTACCTTCCCCCCCCCCTTCCCCCTTCCCCCACCTCCTCTCCAGTGCCGAAGTACGACGGAGCTTACTAGTGTTTGTGCGTACCTACATGCATTATTGGTGTTCTACAGCTTTACTGAAATATTCATGCTTTCCCTTTTTTTTACAATTCCCCGGCTTTGTAGCTTCCCCTCACTATAAGCTTCACATGATGAATGGCGAGTACTTCTTTTCGTGAATTGCTTCTCTAGTTGAAAGTTTGTTTATAATTGACCGCTACCTATACAGAGCACGCTCAGAAAAGCAACGCAAGCATAAGGTTTACCGTTAGAGAAGAGAAGTTGGTACGAGCTCTTGGTACTCGTTAGCTCGTCCTATGCCCTCTCTTGTTTCAAAGGTTTATTCGCCAGGCAATTTCTCCAGCAGAGGAAGAGCATCAACTTCCGCAGCAAGGAGGGAAATAAGACCGTCAGCTCAGAAAAACAAGCAACTTAAACGTCATGCACGCGAGCCTAGGAACGATTAATTGGGCCCCTAGGTCCTGCTGAGCTCTTCCATGTAATTCTTTGCAAAGTATTTGCTAGTTTTTGCACAGAACAAAAGATTGGCAGGGCGCTGTTTGTCGACGGGGGGCATTTTGTATTATCATTGCTTCCCTAGTTCCGGTTTACAAATCTCACTCTGGTAAAACTTGTGAACTCTTGTGAAGCTGAAGTAAGATCGTCTAGCCACTATCCTAAAACGTGTCAACTCGAGAAACGGCTGCCTAGATGGGTCGACACATCTATGGAAAGCAAAATGCCCCCCCCCCGTCGACAAACTGCGCCGTTGTCAGTGTAGAAGCTGATTGGGCAGAAAGGGAAATGCCTGCGAGGCCTAGTTCAACACAATAGGATACGTAGGCCTGGTCCGCTTTGAGACGAAATGTACTGCCCAGTAAGGTAGGAAATAGTGGTGAACTAGACAGGACCAGGGAGAAGATTCCCGCCCGCATATGTGTCTTCCTTTTTACACGAGTATATATGGTTGTGTGGAGGAGGTGATGTAGTGACTACTGGCCCTTATGCCGTGACCCCCGTTCGGGGGTCGGATCCTGGATCGCCACCCACCCTGCCCACTAAGCCTTTCACTCTTCCACGCTGGAGATTTGGGTCCCAAACTCCTGCAAGTATACCACTATCAACTTGAACATCGACTGGCCCCCGCGATTAATTGTGTAGAGCATTTCAAACCTTTTTCCTATTGTGGAATCGTGTTTATCAGCTACCTATGAACCTCCCGACCTAGTTTGCTCAGAATTGTCAGTACTAGCTACTCAACCAATGGGCCGATTAATCCAACCTTGATTTCGCTCACGCCAAGTGATTTCGAATGATTTCTGCTCTGTGCCGCTTCTACGCGTTTCCCTACATGCCTTCCTTTATTGCTGTTGCTCCTATTTTTGTTCTGCGCTTTTTAACCTGAGCTTTTACCTTTACCTACCCTTTTAGTGCTTGCTTGCGTGTTTTTGTTTATTTTTGTCCGTTTGTCGGGTGATTGTAATTACTTCATTTTTTAGAAATTCCTGCTGCAGTACTGAGTATTCCTTTTTCCAAGGAACTCATCAATGAATGGGAAATCATCAAACTAGAAAGCGTCATGCTGAAGAGGTTCATTTTTTCTGTTCCATATTTGGTAGAATTTGAAAGCAAGTGCTCAGCTCCTAAAATCATGCAAATAAGACGATATTATAACTTAGGAGATTACAAGCGCGCAGTCAGCGACAGAACCGAACAACTTCGTATTGAAATCCATTAGTGATTGGCTTAATTACACGAGCGGCCGAGATACAATGGAAGGCAAGCAATGCGGCAGTAGCAACAATGAATGTGGCGACTGATCGTTCACTCGTATGGCTGCGCCAAGCACTAATAGCTAATGCGCAGGGTGAGCGATTTAGTATGGATTAGTCTCTCAACTAAGGTCAACACTTCATTCATCGCAATCAAATGGGTAGGAGCATCAGAGAAGTTCGGGTGTCACACATGCTTCGATGCGCTACTGCACATCGAGCCTCCAACAAACGAGTTGAAACGTCGACGGTGTTCTTTGACCTGACAAGAGTGTACATGGGTCGTTGGCAATTGTTTTACTTTAACAGGGGTTCGTAGCGAGAAAAAATGGCCGATACTGGGGTGTTATTTCATGGATATAATGATCCGATCAGAGGGAGTGAATTATGGAACTCGAGCTTCAGCTTCCTCTCTGTTCGAGCCTTGCAATAGGCGGATGAGAATGACGTCGTTGCTACGTCTACTGACCACGCCTAAATAGCAAAACAACCCCAACATAGATGAACGCTGTCACAGCGCAGAGTGAGTGAGACCATACGCTATTACCACCGCGGAACGAGGAGCAAGTAGTAGCCACAAGAGCCAGGTAACGTCAGTTCCTGGTTAATTCACGCCCTTTGGCCATGAATCATTCTTTCCATAGGTTTAGCATTGCAAACTGCTATAAGCAACAGTTATCACAACGAAGAGAGTACAGTACCAAAAAATTTGGCAACCAAGGCTCAACTCATCCTAGCAAGTGGTCCCAGGTTTTATCATTCAGTTTACTTGTGGTAGCGTCCTCCCCTGTGCTATGTAACATACTTATTCCTGACTAGAAGGCTTCTTTTTCCTACTTTGGACATTTTCTTTCCATTTTCTATGATCATGACCTTTATTTATTGCTCCAAACATTCCTTTTTCCGTATTTGCAATGGCAATATATCATCTGGAAACCCGGGACAGCCTGAGGGGCAAAACGATTAACATCGTGCTCTTTCAGTCCCAAAAAAACTTTTTCAAAAATGTTTTTTTTTTTTCTTTCCAGCGTGTATGCTTGCACTTACCACCAGAGAACTGAGAACTTTTTATAGAACTCTATGGAACTTTGCAGAACAGGTCCTGCTGCTGGGGTAAAAATTAGCAAGATACGATATCCTTCCCTTGACTCTCCTTCTCTAACATGACTCCCTTCCCATCCTACCTACGAATTATTTTTTCTTGACTCTTCCACCCTTCATATAAGTTTGATCCCGGAGGTTTCTCAATATGGCAACTTTTTCCCGGAAAAGCTGCCGTAGAGGGATGTGGTTGGGCGAGGTGCACAGACGAAAAAGTTCGGCAAGGCATTTTTTATAATTAGGCAGATACGCGCTAACCTCCTCAGCAATCAACATACGACCGACCGCTGGATTTCCCATCGAACACACGGCGCATGGCATTCAGAGTCCTGTTACTCAGGATGTGTTTCTTTAAACACTGTGTGGGAGATTTCTAAACTTTCTTGAGAGCTTCTCTCACAAGTCAAAATGTCGTGCGCTATGCCAGCCAGCTGTTTGCACCTAAATTCTATGAGAAATTTTTTCTACTATTTTTTGAGTTAGCAGATTGCAGTGCCTCTATTAGCAAAATTGCTTGCCAATAAGAGATTTGGCTCTGCTGCACTATTGAGGCGGAAATAACAAGCAATTGAGATTTGACTGTTGATGCGTTATGAGGCTGTAGAACAGCAAGGACGTATTTGTTGGTCAGCAGGTTTTGAAACTCTCTTCAGAGTTACGTAATTACACCTTTTGTGTTTTAGAGAATGTCATGGGCGTAAATGTTAATAAAGTCAGATACTAGCCAAAGCAAGAGTGTTTCTTCCTGAGGAAACGTTCTTTTTTTCCTATCTCGTTTGACTCTATCCTTCGTGAGAGAAGAGGAGGAAGAGAAGCAGAGAGGGTGAAAGTTGACATAACAATGTCTCTTCGCTGGCGCTGCTGCTGTTGGTTGGCACTTGTCCACTAGCACGAGCGCTCAAAGATTGGAGAGTGTAGCTGTAGATTGGTGACTGTAAATGGACCGAGAAAACGTACAGAAGTACGTATTTCATTAGCTAGCGCACGCGTCGTATCGTGCGATTATGCGCGCCACAGTTTTGATGTGCATCAATCGCATTGGAGCCCGGCAACAGCCTTGATGTGCTTCCAGGCATCCCGCGAATGTTCTTTAGGATTTCGAGCGAAGGCTGAAGCTCCTTTCTTTATACGGATGATATCGAATTCCCTATCCTCAATAATCATATTCGAATGGCGAGCAAAAAACTAGTCCGCGGCGCGCACCCATCGCTTTAGCAACGCCCTCCAACTGCGGTTATGCTTTGAGTGTCTTGTCACCATACCAATGGGTATGGATGCCCACACATGCTTATTGGCAAGCACTCTGGTTTGTGTGCAGATCTGCACGTTACCATTTCCGCTCAAGGACAGGGCTGGAGCTATTTCAATGTCATCTTTCTTGCTAACCAGTGGGACCGCAGAAAAGCCTAGCAATAAGAATGCGTCTAGCTGGTACAATGTTATTCGCACCCATCTCAGCCAGGTTGGATTGATCAATGAATTAAGACGAATGTCTCGATCCTGTCATATTTTTACGATGGGGAAACGGCCGATTCTCCTCGACGACAGGGCATCTCTAACGTACAACTTGATTCCACTTATCTCATCATCAGACGATGATGGACTCTAGGGCTCATCCGCATAGCAAAAGCTTCACATGCTATAAAGTGAAATCATTCTTTTTGTGCCTCAAACGCTGTAGCGCCGCTTAACTAGTCTGATCTAGAGTCTGGTTCCGGTTTTTCGTAGTAAGATGGCTCCGTCAGGGGAGTAGGACGACAACGGCACATCCATAATTGGAGTGGTATTCTTTTCCCAATCATTTTGTTTCTCTTCTGTTTCTAATTTCTTTCCGTTTCCTTCAACGATTAAACTAGCTATACAGGCGCGAATTAATCGAGAAGGTCGAATGTGCGTACTTTCCTACCAAAGCACTGTCTATGGCACCGTTTTGTCAATGCACTTTATGGAAAAAGGGCGCTGTTCGAAGTGGAAGGGGCATCACGCGAGCCCTCATAGACATGGGGAAGTCTGAACACTCATTAAAGGCAGTTGGCACGATAATTGGATGTTCATGCTAAATGCTAGTAGGGAGCCTCTAATAGTGGGAGGAAATGGGCGAAAGACGCAGTGAACGATCAAAAATCCTGCTGAGAAGAGCCTCGTTCTCATCCTGTGATAGAGATGCATTTTTGCGTACCTTGAGTTTCCTGCGGGGCCATCCTTTGCGAATAACCGCCACGAAGAGTACGGTTGCATTATTTGTGCCCATACTATTCACTGCTAGCTACGGCCGCTTCTGACAATTACTGTTTCGCTTCGTAATGTGCTTAGCAAATAATCTGTGTAGAGCGTCAGCATGGTCGCATCCATTTGTGGCGCGGGCGGCGTGTGTCGCTACGTTTGGAGCCGCTAAGTGTTGGCTTAAATAGGGCCCTTATAAGGGCACGTCCCTTGGGAAAGGCATTATGCAGCGCCTGCTCAGGGTCGCGGGATTCCGTCCTGCCAGGCGTATTGATCCTACTCGTCTCTTGCGGGTTTATCCGGTGCAGCTGCCTATTAAGCATATGAATGGCACTCATGAGAGCTTGCACAGACCACTTTTAGGCAGTGCAAATCTAAAGAGCTTAAATTAGATAAGCCTTATCACTTTGCAGTCTCACAAGAGCAACAGGCCCACCAAGGAAAGGAACAGATCTTGCAAAATCTCCCCCCCCCAGGCCAAACGGCATATGTTTCATGCACCTCTGGTTCAGAATATTTATTCAGCTGGATTCCATCTGTTTTGCAAATCTTTAGAGAGCATTTTATTAGAAGCGGAAATGAATTGTCTGGTGGAACCGCTGAGAGACTTGTTTTACAGGAGCTGGATGGGGTGCAAACGAAAAAAGCTCGTCTTAGCAACACCTGCTCACCCCTTGCTCGTCGGCGAAGAAGAACTCCCAAGCTGGACAATGTACTTCATTTCAATGAAATTATTATGTTTAGTGGCTGCAAAAGATTTGACTATTGCAGGAGGATGCATCGCCCATTTCGAAAAAACGTCGACTTTCGATGTTCCGGCAGCTTTCCTCGATCAAGTTCGACTCAATTTTTAGATCAGGTAATTTATCGCATTTTCAGAGCAAGTTTTGCTACGAGGTTACTGGCTGGAAACTGGAAACTTTACTAGGCCAACTTTTCTTCAATGCCGTCCCTTCCCTTTCAAGGGCGCTAGATCCCACAGTTAATATTGTCGCGATCAGTGGAGGGGGGGGGGGAATTGAGAGGGATGAAATGAGCCTACCCACGACGTTCTCGCTAATGGTTTTTTTCCTAAGTCGATCGCTAGCCGGTCATTATTGGTAGGAAAAGGAGCTGGAGGCAGACTCATCCCGCCCCTCGGAACCGCCCCGACTGGTTGCGACGATATCAACTATACCTTCACTCTTCCAAATACATAAGTGTAGCATAAGACCACTGGGTCATCAGTTTGCAAAAGAGTTAGCTTTCACGGATCAATATGCAATTTTGATAATTTTTCAAATATTTTCAAGCCAAGAGAGGCATCCTACTCTTTTTCTTTTTTCTTTGTGCAAACAATGATATCAAGGTTTTCTTAGCATTGTTGAGAGAAAAACTGGAATAAAACTCCTCTTAATCTTCGGATTACTCCTCGTGACGCGATTTTCATCTCATCTGCAAATGAAATAGCGCCGGCACATAGAGCTAGTGACGTAGCGCGAAGTCACAATAGAAAAGTTGATGCCCGCCGGACCACAAAGTTGGGATATGGTTGCATGCTGAAACAAACACAGGCCTTTTTCTGGAATCGGATTTCAAAACAGACACCGGAGATGCTCACGTACTTTAGGCACGGACTCTGGAAGCTTGCCACAACACTTGAAAGCGGGGTCAATCTATGGGCTTCACGAGTTCCGATCAGCATTGAGGCTATGTGCGCGTTAAAGTACTTCTGTCTAAATGTAGCAGTGTGACAGATATACAGGGGGGCCAAAAAAAATGTCATTCCGGCCGAGTCACATATGAGCAAAGTTTTCGCAGCCCAGACAGAGGAAGTGGATATGAGTACAGGGCGCAGAAGATTACCAAGCGTATTCCTCTATAAGAGGAGCGCGCTGCCCGCCATTCACTTCATGAAATACACCAAAATACTGAGTATCTTCACCGTCGCCGCCGGGTGGAGAACGACGCCTTGAAATTCACGAATGGCACTCCAAACAGCTGACGTATACTTCTTGATAGCGAATTCACATGTGATAGCCTTACTTGAGAGTCAGTACTTTGATTCTGGACAGACCTCAAAATCCGAAGCAGCTCGCGCAAAACGTCGCTACGGTCCAGGACATCATTTTACCCCATTCACCAAGGCGCGGGTTGATGGTGTGGACCGGCCGTACCTGGAATGGATGAACCGATATTTTCTTGGGCCCCAGACTGAGGGTGTGCGCTGGTGGCTACATTCGAACACGCGGAGAATATGGCCCGATCTTCATTTTGGCCGTCGCCCGTACTTACTATGGAAATTTTGTACTGCCTACAGGTTGGGTGCAACACATCGGCAAGCGGCATTGGAAAAACTTTCGCCTACTTGGAATGGAAGAACGTTGAGTACCTGAAAAGATGGAGTATTCAAGCGGGGTCCTGAACTAAACCCCTCAATTACTCGGTTCGAGGCGGAGTCAGACAAGGGTGGTCTACAGTGGCGGAGAATCAACGATCTCGCTCAACTCCGGTACCCACTCACTTTCGCGCGGCCGAATCTCTCGATGGCGCTCCTCCAGAAGGCTGTGGCGGAGTATCATTATAGTATTTAATGTGCTCTTTAATATGGTAGTAAAAATGTCCGATAAAAATTTAATAAAGTGTAACTTATAGCGCCTTGAAAGTCATGGAGGCAAAATGACTTTTTTTTGGCCCCCCTGTAAGTTAGAAATCTACGAAACAAACGAAGATGAAACGGTCAAAAATCTGCGCAAAGAAGCACTTCCGTTTTCCATACTCAGAAGCAAACTACGAAGTTATCCCGAATCGACATTATGCCAAAAACGCTACGGTAGATAGGGCTGCACGTATGCACTCATTTATCCATGCAGCACCGCAGCCGCTTCATATCAATCCCTTCGCTTCATATTTTACTTCGCAAATGAAGCAATACGAGCATCGGGCGCGATCCCCCATTTGTGGGCGGGAGCGCGGTGGACATCCGGGTCCGGTATAATCTATGCGGACTCAGTTGTTCGGATTTCGCTTGCAGTTAGGAGTGACGGTATGTTGCCAGCCTTTGATGGGCCTTTATGGTGGATACCTCTCTGGAAAAAGGCGCCCTATATGACCAGCACAACAACCCACAACCCCACCAGACCACACCGACACGCCCCCACACACAAAGAAACACAAACAAAAAACAAAAACAGCCAAACAACAAACAACCACAACACAAACCGAAAAAAACAAAAGACTGCTCAGCGGGCGTGCCTGAGGAATTTTGTCCTGTCAGGACGTATTATCCTGCTCTACTTCAGGGATTTTAATCGTGCAGCTGTCTTATGAGAAAATTGAGGTGCTTATTCTTTTTTATGGAGCCCTTTTTCGGATTGGTTTGTCACTGGACGGAATTTTTGTGACGTTTCGGAAAGCCATAGCCATATTTTTTACTTCGCTCAGCCACATTTACAGCTATCCAACATCTGCCCTCCCAAGACGACCATTACTGAGCTGCCCAGTGAATTCCCATTACAAGACGTGATGAATGTCGCTCGTGCTGTCAATGGACCGATAGCGTCATCTCATAGGAGCAGTGTTTCGGAACGGATATTCTCGCCACGCTTTGAAATCTAAGGAAAAGCAGGAGAAGAACGAAATCATCGATTTGGATGGAGAATGTGAAGGAGTAATCGTAACCCGCTACTATGATCGACAAAGACTTCTCTGGATCAATTTGCCTGAACTGCTTAACAGCGAGCTGAAAAGCTTGAACAACCTTTGAAATGGTAGTTATTCAACCATTATCTCAGTTGTTACCCTTAAACACAATATAAGACAGTAACTGATAGTGAAGAATACAACGTAATAACGTGTTAATATCAAGTTTGGAGGAGCCCATGGTGTTAAGTTTATTGTTGGCGCGTCTTCCTTATGCTGTCGGGAGGGCTTTTCCTGGCACTGCGATTATTTACTCACACCCAAAACCGAACATCTTACCCCTTCCATGGCTATGTTAATTGACGTTACATCCGGAGGATAAATAAAATGGCCTTTTTTTCTGACGGACTAAGGTGAATAGAGATTGCCTAAGTCAGGTTCACATTCGAAGTTATTCATTCTCAAAATCACTCCTACAAAATTCACTGGCTTTTTTACTGACACGCCCCGTAGGTGATAGATTGCCTAGGTCAGTTCACATTCGAAATTATTCGATTCTCAAAATCACTCCATTTCATTCTGTCCTAGATAGGAGTTTGGTATTCTATATCCAGGTAATTCATCAAAGGTGGGAGCTTTGTCCTTCGAGCTTTTCTGATGCAGCAACGTTTGGTACCGTGCTGCCTACGTGCGTACGCAGCAACAGTCAAGTGTTAGTCCCAACAGGCTTATCGAATAAGTGATCAAGCCCGCCTGGGTCATCCTTACCTTTTCCTTCTGCTTTCCTCATACACTTCTTGATCCTCACTGACTTACAAACTTTACGAGTGGATCCAATAGGTGGTAGCGACGTCCCCTATATTCTACGTACCGACAAGGACTTCAGTCAACCAACTTAATTGATCGGGATCGTTTTCTTGGGCGTTTGTGAATCAGACGGAAGAAATTTTTACATGCAAACTGAAAAATGTTGGCAACACCATAGACAAGCGTGCGACGTGGGTTGCTCCAGGTTTTCCCAGCTACTGTACACAGCTTTGGAGAACCCATTTAGCGCACTATCTCCCACAGGAGATGAGACTTTTTGCAGGAGTGAGAAGTTTTGAAAGAAGGACGTCAAAACGGCAGCTTTGACAAGTCCACTTTTTTGAATTCCCCCTTGGCCTAGGTGCAGCCAATGTGACTCGAAATATGAATGAAGCTTTTGTAGGGGAGTGTTGGAACATGCACAGTTCACCGCTGTTTTTAATAGTTCCCTCATGACAGACTGATGCTCCAAGATGAGGAGCATCAGTCCGTCATGAGGACCATTAAGGTTGTTAAAGTTGTGGGATCCTTCTACTATAGATGAAAGTTTTGATGGAAGAAGATTCATGTGCAAGTGCACAAGCACTTGCTAGTGATCTCAGTGCAAGCATGCCAGCTGTTTTAGAGCACTTCGAGAAACTTGATGGGCCGAAAAATCTTGAGAAATGGCTGCCACATAGGATTGGACGAGCACGAGCGGAACTGTCGCATGAGCTGTTGCCGACACTAACTCTCAGCAACATAAGTGATCCCTTCCAGGAACTTTTTGTGACAAGCCATGAGAATTGGATTCTTTGTGACGGCCGGCTACCATCGCCTCAGTTGTTAGGGCTGAACAAAGCGTTGCAAACTTCACCAAACAAAGCTGCATCGAAGATGATATGCACTTCTAGGTGATCTGTGCGAGGTCTTCTTCACCTACTTCTCAAATCCGATAAGGGGCAGTAAAGTTCTATAAGGGAGTAGTCAAAAGACCTTCCTTCGAGAATCCCCAGTTAACGGGATACTTGCACTAGGGATATCTGGGAAAAGTTCCGGGCCACTTGGAAGCCTAGTAACTTCTGTATGATTGCGAGCGATTCCTTTCGGGGACCTGTGTGCTTCCGGGACGCACCTGCTATGGAAGATAACTGGGAAGTGGTTCGTTCAGGACAGATAGGCCTATCTCTGTATGCACCATGCATTAGGCTGCAGAGATGGTGAAGAGGTGCAACTTTTCCGCAATGTTTAGCCTTACAAGCAAATGTGATATGATCCGTTCAAAGGATTCTGAAGGATCCATAAGTCACTCCAGATTGGATATAATATTGCTATCACAAAGGCAGTTAGGCAACCATTTACATCGGCCAAGGCTGAGTAGCGATGAATTACGCCTGGCATGGCTGATCCGCTTACTCCTGAAGCAAGCGCTTGCATAATCGCCTTTTTTCCAGGTGTCTTGTTGGAGGTGCCCCTTTTACGGGTCTTTCAAGCCACAACTTTTCACGTGTCCAACGCCCGCCACGACCGCAGCGCCACAAATGGACGACCGTTCCTGATGCTCGTATTCATTCATTTGCTAAACAAATTATGAAGCGTAGGGATTGGTATGAAGCGGTCGTGATGCTGCATGGATATATGGGTACACATGTGCAGCTCCGTACGCTCCGCGTAGCGCGTTACTTGGCAAAATGCCGACATGTGGAAACTCGTCCCAATAAAATGATCTCTAATACACATTGACGAGCGGAAGCTCTTTCTTCGCAGAAATTTGACCGTTTCACTCCATTCTTTCGCCATTTCCCCACTAGCGTTTTAGGCCGAGCACCAAATCATCGTGCGAACTGCTTTTTAATTCATGTCTCTGATTGTACTTATTATTCCACGCGACAATCATCGATATTGGTATTATCAATCAAAGTTAAATATTTTGTTATGTTTTCCGTAGATCCGGCATCTCTGCCAAGCAAATTTCGATGACCACGCAAGTCAGCGATGTTACCACCATTGCGCTGTTCGTTGCCCACAGAGTTTCCACCTACGTCCCCACCTTATCCACCAATCAAATACGACCTCCCTCCTCGGGAATCATCAGCTATGGTATGCCATGGATCGAATGCCCGTATAGGAGTGGTCAAGTTTGTATGAAGCGTGTCGAGCCAGCGCTGCTTGTAAGAGTAATTGCAAAGCATTGCATAGAACATAGAACCCATGAACTCGCTACGATTTCTAATGGAAGTGCACGCGAATGGGGTTCGTTAATGGCAAAGCTTTGTCCTTCGAGCCTTTATGATGAAAAAAGAGTCTTGTTCTTCCAGCTATCACAGTAATACGAGGTTTTTTGACGTACGTGGGGGCATGGTCTGCGTTAGGAGTTAGTTTCTCTTGCATGGTCGAACAATGGGAGAAACTTGTCCAGGTACTCCTTTCTCAGGCTTCCCACTTTCTTTATTACATTCCTTCCAGAGCCTCAAGGTAGGCAAGTACCGTCAACGTAGTGGCGGTGTGCCATATTGCGATGTTCTTCTCCATTCCACTTCAGCGTTAACTTTTCTTAGCCACTCAAAAAAATCTTGCAAAAAATACGGAACTTTCACTACTGTATGTGCTGCTAACCGTTCACAAGCCATGACTACTTTTTGACCAGTTTTCAAACACACCGTCTTGAGGAGGTAATAATCCCTTCCTTTATCCCTTCGGGAAATCTGCGTGAGTGTAGGCCTACCTGCAATCAGTTATTGCCAGATCTATTGCCCATAGAACGCCAGCCATATAACACCTGAGGAGATCGGCAGGACGTTTGTGAAATCCAGCCTGCAGGCAGGGATTCGGATTCAGTTCATGTACGCCGACATTTGCGCAGTCTCGCACAAAAACTGGGAGGGCATTCTACTGGTTGAGATAAACGAGCTTATCGTGCGAGGGGAGGAGAGGGGAGGAGTTACCTAGACTGCCTCAGTACAGACTAATACAACTCGTAAGCGCTCCATTATTCTCATGACCAGATTTTTGCTGACCTGTCTTCTAGACCAGGAGAAGGACTCTAAAGAGTAACACAACTGCCCAAACTTCTGGCTTCGCTTTCAAAACTTTATAAGCGAACTTAAATTAAAGGCTCGGGTGTGAAAAAAGATTGTGGCAAGGACTTAGCCCGAGCTGTGTTCTCCTCACAGGTGCTCCTCTCCGTTTTAATTGGCTCAGTGGGTTGGCGCTACCCTCCTTTTCAGGAAGACCCCAAATGGTTGGCCAAATCTGCGCATGTGAGAGTTCTTGAACACTGATCGTTCTGGGTCAGCTCTAATGAGCTCGACCTGTCAATATACGACGCCCGCGACTTTACATACCAGAAACTGAATAAAAAGTACTTGAAGGTACATATCACGAACTTTCATAAAACTTGAAGCTCTGTGTGGAAGAGTAATATACACTGCAACCGAGAAAACAGTGCGTTACTATCTTTCGGTATAGCGCTTGATTGCATTCTCCCTGGCAGCTTTTTTTCCCCTCGCTATCACGGACCACAACAAATCCTTACCTTTGGCGTTTTCGTCACTTTTTTCTTCGCTAATAGGTTGGCTAAAAATTGGAGTCTTTCTTTCAACCACGGTACCTGCGAATTTACTGCAAATGTGCCTCTGATAGCGTCTCCGGATCCTTGTCAACCATGCATACCTTCTCTTTCCTTTTTTCTTCCTCCTTCCTTTTTTCTTTCTTTGTTCTACCTTCCGTCCTCCTCTGCCTTCTCCCTTCAACTGCTGGGCCAGTAGATACCATTAGAAAAGCGAGAGCATGGGCGCTTGACAAGAGCCGTGTAACTCATTGATGGCGATAAATCCGTCATCCCAGATTCCTGCTGAAAGTACGCACAGCCTTTCTATGGCCCATTGACAACGCTTTTTGCTTTCCTGCGGCTTATTTCCCTGATTTTCTAGCGCTACTGCGCTCCTTATTTTACCCTCTTAGAAGAGGTAAATAATTAGGTAAAAGCAGTAGAGGTGAGGATCATAGTTATCATTGTGTTGCACTAATAACATTTCGACACATGACATCTCAATCCTCTGTGAAGAACGAACTTAATGACTCACTGGTTCACTTCTCGCGTTTATTTGTCTGCTCGTATTGTCGTCACCATTACGAAAATCCGTAATCGTGGACAAATTATTAGTCTCAGTGGCGGTTGAAATGTTTGA